TGCCGCTTGAGCCATATCCCCAGCCCAAGATTACTTAATTCTGCTTCTGTAAGTTATTTTTAAATCATAAGATTTTGCAACATTCAGCAAGTATGTATATACCTATATGAAAAAATAATTTAACATATATATCTTGATGCTTCTCTCAATTTATTGGTCTTCAGAAAGATAAAGAAAGTATATTAACAGGTGTTCATTCATAAATTAGGAAAAACATTTTTAAATTGTATATGGCATCATAGTTTATGTTTATGACACCTGAAGTCAGAGGAGGGGAAGGTCAGGTTACCCCTACTTACAATCTGGTTAGAGGAATAATAGATGGAGTGCAATTATCCAGAGATAAGGAATGCTGTACTAATAAGCAGTTGTGGTTTTACTGCTTTTTCTATTGCAACTGTTACCCCCACTTTGCAGGCAGCTGGTAGCCTATACCCCAGGCTGCAGAAACCCACAAGTCTGTAATCTCTTGCTATCTGGGATGCAGTTTCTGCTGCCAAGGCCAGTGGAGCATCATGACTGCCATTGCTTCAGAATCACACAGCCTGGGAAGAACCCCACAGCCTGTGCTTGTCTTGTCCCTTTCACTGACGCTTCTGTGCTCCACCAGAAGCAGAAAAAACACACAAAGATACCTTACTCCCATTTGCCTTCTAATCCCTCAACAGTGCCTCCTATTGGCAGAACCTCATTGAAAAACCACTGACAAGTCTGTGAGGTGTAGTTTGCAGGCTTCTAGCCATCTTGTGATGCAAAGGAGATTCCAGAAAGCTGGGAATGTTGTTGTGAGCCAAATGACAAATAGCCAACACAGATAGGGAAAGCCAGTAACTGACTTGTGAATATTATCATTTTTCTGTGAAGGCATATCTATCTGGCATATCCTCTGAGTGTGATACACATTTCTAAATATATTATACATACATAGTTTTAATAGAGAGACTTTGAGAATAAAATCCGAATTGCTTGTGGCAAAGAGGTTTGATAATTTTCCAACTCTGAAGAAAACTTTGATGATTATGATATTTCATTGATTATTTTGACATTTGCAGAGTTTATATATTGCTGTTTTTGTTGACATTTACAGAACTGTGAGTGAGTATATAAATTTAATAATTGTTAAGTGAGACTTTCCTATTGTTCCAGATTTTCAGGTAACCCCAAAAACTGAACGAAAGAGGAGCTAGAGTGCTTACGTTCTGATTACTGTGAAGACAGCTAAAATTAGGTTCAGAAACAAACCTCCATGGCCTGTCAAGATCAACAGTAGGATATATATCCTTCTTCTTACTTTTCCTCCCTTGATCCTGAACATTTGTGGATACATACATGAAAGACTGGACCATTTTTTTTCCTTCGTTAACTTGTTGCTTATTAAAGCAAATATGATCTTTCAGATGAATCTGGTATTTTTGTTACTTAAAATGAAAATGAAGAAAATCCTGCTTGAATGGCCACTATGTGATCATAGGAAAAAAAAAAAAAGAACCAACAACAACAATCTGTCTCTTAGGTATCTGGGTTGCTCCTGTCAGAAAAATTAGAAGTTCAATTCTGGTCTTTAACAAGTTGCTCATGTTTGAAAAAGCAAAGGGAGCACACATTTATGATAATACATAATATTTCTATTTACTTATTTTTATGCCTTCTGAGCAGGGTTATTCAAAATAAAGAATTGGGAGCTGTTAAGAATTTATGTCAATGTCATACTTGTGTGGAGATTGTCCAGAGGACTCAGAAGTACCCAAACTTGCCCTGCCTTGGCTATCCTTCCCTCAGAAATTCCCAAAGCATATGTGCAGGGTAGACTGACCAACAGAGGGCAGTGACATTGTACTTAATGTCTACTGGAGTATCATTGCCAAACTCCGAGCAGAACAAAAGGGAACTACCCAGGACTCCAGAGTGCTCCCTGAACTATATGTGCTGAATTGGTTTTAATGGCCTGGAAACAAAGGAGGCCAAAAGGCTTGTTCTGACAATTTCTACTCCAATATCTGATCCACATTTGGATCTAAGTATTCCCTTGTGGTGAAATTGTACTCAGCAGTGCCAAAGTGTAAGAAATAAGGTCAGCTGTAGATGGAGAGTCTATTCAGCTGACTTGTGGAAGACAGAGGCCAGAGTTATTCAGCCTTTTTCTTTCTTATTACAGTTAAGATATAAGGGGAAGAGGTCACAAAAGTGTGTGGCCTTTACTTCTTTGAACACTCCACTGTGATCCAATACAGAAACCAGAGCCTAACTATCCAGATCAGCAATGGAATGAAGTAGGCTTTGGGTGGACAACACAGCTGACTGAAACCTGCAACTCATCTGAGAGACCAAAAAGAGCTGTTGTTCTGGGATTGGTCACTATGGATAGTTTATAAGTCAGAGGTTTCATGAGTGTAGATTTTAGTTAAGAAAGATCCGTTGTCATTCCTACTATGTAGGAAATTTACTGATAGCCCCGAAATTGCTTTATCTTCTCATCTGCTCAGACCCTTGTTTTTTTTCTGTCTCAATTAATTTTGTACTTTCCAGATTTTATAGTGTCTTTTCATGTTTGGTCCTCTGTCCTCAACTGTGCTCCTATGGGGCAGGGACCTTGCGTTTACCTCTTTGTATTTCCAGAATCCAGCATAGTCATTCAATGCATTTTGATGATGATGAAGTTGCCTCAAGTATGGAGGATACTATTTAGGCTTATTAGGACTTTAGGAATACACTTTAAAAAAATGAAAACTCTCTTTAAATCTATAGTTTGAAAAGATTTCTAAATATTTTTCTCTCTTAAAAATTGATCCAGTATTTTTAATATAGCTTAGTGGGTTAATTTTTTTCCTTTTCATTTGTCCTTTTGGAAAAATATACTTGTGAAGATATATTTGGAAGAAGATATATGAGAAGAATTGCAGAGTCAGAAGTAATCTCATAAAGTGCTCTTTTGTTGTTGTTTTTTTCAGCTAAAGTGGTATTCAAAGAAGGGGAGAAAAGTTCTTGCTTGGAGTGTCAACCCAGGTAGTTGAAACAGGAAAATAGGAACAATTCCAGGATAGCTTGACTTGTTTACAATATTGATTAGGCCACTCTTCAACACTGTTTTGCAGAACAAAATGACACTCATAGCAGGAAAATATTAATGGCAAAAAATAATGGAAAGTGATTATATTTTCTTGTCAATGTGCTAAATTATGTATATCAGCTCATATTATCCACTTAACTGCACTTTAAAGAACATGACATTATTATCTGCAATTTATAAGCTAGAAAACTGAGGCTCAGAGGATTAGAGCAATTTGCCTAAATAGCCCCACCAGTCATGGAATCACCATGATGTAAACACACTTGCATTTGACTTTTTAGTCTGGCTTATGACCTTGATGATCACACTCCACTGCTTCCTGAAGCAAGAAATTTCCTTGGAAACAAAAACTGAGGGTGAAGAGGAGATGGTCTTCTTTTCAGACTACTTTTGGAAAGTTAATTAAACCATAGAAATTTGAGCTTTATATTCTATGAAAGGGGCTACCAGATTATTTGAGGGTTTGCTTGGAGCTTTGGATGGACACCTTGAGTTAGAAGTAACTCAGAGACACTTTTGGTTGAACTTTGAGATTGACATATTTTGCTTATTGTTCTTCATGATGAGTCATTCTCTGCTGAAGAGAATGATTTACTTATATAAAGGAATGACCTGTGATTGACTTATTGTTGGAAACAAAAAAAGTTATAATAAATAAACCAAGACAGGTTATTTTGAAGGGGGTGAAAACCTGGGTTCAGGTGCAGTATTAACTTTTTTATACATGCATATGATTTCATTTACCTTGTCTAGTGCATCAGAATTTCTTTCTTTCTTTTCTTTTTCTATTTTTATTTTTTTTGCAGAGGGGGATAATGAATGGAGTCATTTTAACTGAGTGCTAATGTGGTGAGTGCCAGGTGAGAAATCCAATTGAAATGCTGTCACAAGATTCTTTTGTTTTACTGACAAGAGGTGTCATGTTTTCTTGATTCCCCATATATGGAGTGTGAACTGATAAATAGTTTGGAGATGAAATTGTCAGTCACCATTATCACACTCAAGCAATTATCTTTTCTGGTGGCTTGCAATGCCAGCCATGAAATCCAGGTTCTGAGGCGTAGAAGCAAAGAAAATGGAAAAACAATATGGATGTGATCAGAAATTGAAACACTACTTAGGTTAGAAAAGTAAGATTCCAAATGGCTCAAAAATAGGCGGAAAAATTCACTGCTATTTCCAAGAATGAAAGAGGAAATGAAGCCAGGAGTAGGAAGCAGTGTGGGGGTGGATCTCCCTTGAAGCTAATAAAACTTAAACTTCAGGATCCCTTACATGATGGACATCATTATAAGGGTTTGAAACAGACCCTAGAAATATGTTCACATGGCCACATATTTTGTAAAATTTGGGCTAGATTATGAACTGTAATAAGTCACTGATTTTTTTTCCACTTTGACTTCTCTTTCATTATATCTCTCCTCTATTTGGTCATTTTGTAGTAATTCCACACGTTTTTGGAGGTGTATTTAAGGAATTTAAGTGGAGAATATAATGTCTTTTGTTTCAGTGTTGTGCAATATATTTACATATTTCATACCATCAGTTCTCATATGGTTAAGTTATCACTTACTCATTGCTGCACACTAATAGGTATACTCCTATGGTAAACTCCTATGGCCTATTTTGCCAATGTGATTAATGTTGTGATTTACTAGTATGTAGCCAAAATTGTATTAATATGGGATATGAATATGTCTTAAGGTGCCTAGCATTTCAAGTATGTATATAGTGGCACAAAAACAAGGTTTGAAATATATAAAGCTAGAAACTGGTCTGGAGAATTTTTTTTCTAATAACCAGATGTGTGAAATTGAAATCCAATGATTTGTTTCCTATCAATGTTCTCTTGTGGCAGGAATATACTTAATACATACAACGCAGTACGAAAGTTTATCATTTTTTTTTTCTTTTTAGCTGTGGAAATTGTGTGAAAAGTAATTTGTTAAAGAATATGTGACACTGAAGTGACTACAAACTATCTTGCTAACAACTTGAGGTTGACAACATCACAGAAGTAACAAAGCTTTGGAGGTGGATAGCTGAGACCTGTTAAAAGTATATGGAAATTTTTCTTTACTTAGACTTGTGATTGGCCATCAATGGAGTTACATAAGATGGCGAATGGGAGTTTCCAGTGCTCTTCCCTTGAAGAAACATCAATTTGAACAACCACCACATAAATACTTTCACAAATAAACAAAAAGGTAAGATACAATAGAATATGGATAGAGTTCAGAATAAAAAAAAGACACATTGAAAAGGGTAGGAAAGGCAGTTTCACATTGCCCCCAAGTTACCCCTTCCCAAACCTGTAATTAAGTGCAGAGAGATACCCTCTCTATGGGGGAAGAAGTATGTACCCAACTTCTTTGCTGACTCTAGCACCAAAACTAGCCCATTTCTAAGATGGCCCCCACATCCCCAGGCTGTAGATTAGTCCATGTAGACATAGACTTCAGACCCACCACACAAGCAACATGATCCCTACAGCCATAGTAATTCAGTTTTACCTGTGTGCACTTGGTCTTTAGGCTCACTTCAAAGGCCTGTCAACCCTTATAGACCCAGGCTCTACATGTTCCTTTTTTTTTTTTTAAAACCATGTTTTTTGTTTTGTTTGTTTTTTTTTTCAAAGAGAGAGTGAGAGAGGAGAGAGAGAGAGAGAGAATTTTTAACATTTATTTTTTAGTTCTCGGCGGACACAACATCTTTGTTGGTATGTGGTGCTGAGGATCAAACCTGGGCTGCACGCATGCCAGGCGAGCGCGCTACCGCTTGAGCCACATCCCCAGCCCTCTAGATGTTCCTTAATGCCAGGACAGCCCCTCTTACTTCAGGCCAGCATTATCCTGATACTCAAGTCAAGAGTATCAGGATACAAGAGAGAAAAATTACAGGTCAATACCCTGAAGAACATAGTGCAAAAATTGTCAGCAAAGTACTAGCAAACTGAATTCAAAAGTTCTAAATGATCATACACCACAAATAAGTGGGATTTATCCCTGCAATGCAAGGATGCTCCAACATATACAAGTCAATAAATGTGACAAACTGCATTAACAGAATTTCTGATAAAAACCATATGTTCATCTCTTTAAGTACAATTTTGACAAAATTTAACATCCTTTGATGACATAAATTTTCAATGAACTAATTATAGAAGGGCTATATGTTTCCCCAGTGTAAACCCAAAATAATAGATAATATTGAGCCCTATATATATTATATTTTTCCCTATAAATGCACATGTATAATAAACTTTAATTTATGAGTTAGATATAGTATTCTTACTATATTAACAACAATAACTAGAAGTAAAATAGAACAATTATAAAAATATACTATAATAAAATTTATGTGAATATAGTCTCTCTTTCTTAAAATATCTTGCTATTACTATACTTACACGTTTTCCTTTAAAAGAAACACTTTATAGTTTATTTGACGAATTCAAATTGCCCACATTGCTACACAGGCAATTTGAAGCCACTATAAAGTAAATAAGGTTACTTAAACATGAGTACTGCAGTAGTATGACAATCGGTCTGATACCTAAGATTAGGACTAAGCGAGTAATGGGTAGGTGTTGTATATTGTATGGATATGCTGGACAAAGTGATGATGCCCATTCCAGGTGGGACAGAGTGGGATGATATGAGATTTTAACATACTATTCTGAACCTTGTTTGTTTTGGGAGTTTTCCATTTAATATTTTTGGATCATGGTTGATCTTGGATAACAAACTATGGAAGCAAACCTGTGAGTAAAGGAGGACTACTGTCAATGAAATATTACATTGTATACCTTAAATATATGCAGTTTTTATTTGTCAATTTTACCTCAGTTAAGTCATCAGATGAAAGAATTTTTCAGAACTCCTTTAGGACAAATATGCAGTATTATTTTACAAATACTGATCATACCTATAGTGGATGAATATGAAAAAACTTTAGAAAGTTGTTTACTGTTACAAGACAAAACTTCCCAATACTTATTGGCTTAAAACAAAAATCATTGTTCTATGATTGTGTTATGATTTGGATGTGGTATCCCCCAAAAGCTCATGTGTGAGACAATGCAAGAAGATTTAGAGGAAAATGATCAGGTCATAATTTGAAGCTAATCAGTGAATTAATCCTTGATGGGATTAACTGAGTAGTAACTGGAGGAAGGTGGAGTGTGGCTAGAGGAAATGGTTCCTTGGGAACATGGCTATGGGGTATGTATTTTGTATCTAAAGAGTGGAGTCTCTCTCTGCTCCCTAGTCATCATGTGAGCCACTTCCCTTTGCCACACACTTGTGCCATGATGTTCAGCTTCACCTTGAGCCCAGAGGAGTGGAGTCTTCTTTCTATGAATTGAGACCTCTGAAACTGGGAGCCCCTAAATAAACCTTTCCTCCTCTACAGTTGTGCTGGTTGGGTCTTTAAGCCGTAACAGCAAAAAAGCTGATTCAACAGGTTGATACTTTGGCCTGCCTCTTTTATAGGGGGCTCATCTTATACAGTATTTGTCAAACTTGCATATTAATTCTGGGGTCTCTGCAGGGGTAGCTAATGTTTTTTTCTATTCCCTACATTACCTTGCATCTCTCAAGAAGCAACACGAGTTTGTCTATATTCACAGAGAGTGTAGGCAGGGTCTCTTGAAGCCTAGGCTCAAAATTTACAGTGTCACATTCTAGGAAGGACCATATGTATGTTCACTATTGGTGAAAAAAATTTACAAGGCCAACCCAGATTTAAGGAATGGGAAATAGACATCATTTCCTGGTGAGAGTTGCTGCAAAGAATTTATGGTCACTTTTTGCGTTCTACCTTATAGGATTTTCCAATTTCACAAAAACATAACCATTTATATAACAATACTAAAGGGTGACTCTCAAGGGAATCACTTCATTATCAATAATAAAAACAATTAGGTCAACTGTGCTGGAGGCAAGAGTGAGTTGCCATTTTATTTTTTACATAAAATGATATTGAAAGGTTCTTATCACATGAAGAGGCATCAAAAAATATGGAACCAAAAATATGTAGGAAAAACAATTCTTACATGGTGGGTATGCAGAAAAAGACCAACAAAATGTGTCTTTGAGATCTAGTTGAATATACATTTGGTTTATATAACCAAAATGTCAGCATCATGCTTCATAGCACCTAAGGCTGGGGTTTGGGTAAGTTTTTTTTATTTGTTGTTTTTAGATACAAATGACAGTAGGGTGTGATTTGACATATTATACATACATGGAGTGCAACCCATTACAATTTGGATCCCATTCTTATGATTGAACATGTTGTGGAGTTATATTGGTCATGTATTCATATATGAGCATAGGAAAGTTATGCCCGATTCATTCAACTGTCTTTCCTATTCCCATCTCCCCTCCCTTTCCTTCATTTGCCTTTGTCTAATTCAATGAACTTCTTTACTTCCCTTCCATACCTTCCCTTGTTATGAGTTAGGATCCACATATCAGAACATTCAACCTTTCTTTTTTGGGGGACTGGCTTATTTCACTAGGCATGATATTTTCCAGTTTCATTCATTTACCAGCAAATGCCATAATTTATTCCTCTTTATGGCCAAGTAATATTCTATTGTGTATATATACTGCATTTTCTTCATCCATTCATCTGTTGATGGGAACCTAGGTTGGTTCCATAACTTGGCTATTGTGCATTGAACTGCTATAAACATTGATGTGGCTGCATCACTGTAATATGCTGATTTAAGTCCTTTGGATATAAGCTGAGGAGTGGTATAACTGGGTCAAACAGTAGTTCCAGTCCAAGTTTTCTAAGGAATCTCCATACTGCTGTACATGAAAATACAGGCTACAGAATGGGAGGAAAATTTTACCACCTGCACCTTAGATAGAGCATTACTCTCCAAGATACATAAATTTAACACCAAAACCAAAACCAAAACAAATAACCAAATCAATAAATGGGCAAAGGAACTGAATAGACACTTCATAGAAGAAATATAAATGGTCAAAACAATAGCAATTAGAGAAATGCAAATTAAAACTACACTGATATTCCATCTCACTCCAGTCAGAATGGCAGTTATAAAGAATACAAGTAACAATAAATGTTGACAAGGATGTGGGGAAAAATATTTACCCATACATTGCTGTGGGACTGCCAATTGGTACAACCCATTCTGGGTAAGTTATCACTACTTAACTCTGGTGATATTTGGGGAAAGCTATTATCTCTTCTGTGAAAAGAAGCCTATTTTGTTGATATATTAAACAGCATATTAAAGTAATTTGTACTCTGCTGATATATAATGGGAAGATAGGACTATTATTTTTATTAAATATCTCTACTATTGTTCTAGTTTCTGCTCTAGGAACTGGGGTTATAATAGTGAATATGATAAAATTCATAAAATTGCTAACACCAAGAAGGTTGCAGTCTAGAAAGGAGCTGTTATCTGATGAGAAAGTAATACACTACTAAGGAGTTTAAGCTCCAGTGAGGAACTTACATTCTTCGTCTTAACAAATTGTTGTTAGCACAAAGACATGAATAAAATGATAAGGAAAAAATTTGATTTAATAGTTTATGGCAATTTTATTCATTTCCTACTAAAAAGTGTGCCTTAACTGATCTAAAAAAGTTCAAAAAGAAGAGATGCTGGAAGTTCACATATGATGAACTTGCCCAAAATGTAAATGGAACCTAAATTATTTAGGACTACTCTAATCTATTTAGCTAGGAAAATTGGATCTCTCTCTGTCACATTTAAAAGAAAGATCTTTATCGAAGGCAAGCTGTTCCCTTGTTTCTTTAGTATCCTGAAGAATTAAAAGAAAGTCTAATTTAGGAAAGCTTTTCTATCTTAAAAAAAAAAAAACCTCAAAGTCTCAATATGTTGCAAAAGAAGCTTTAAAAATGCATTCCCTATGTTCAACAAAATTATATTGAAAATATCCAATATTGAGTTTTATGTATTTTCTTTTATTGTCTACTCATCTGTAGAAATAAATTACAATATACATTAAACCTATTGATTTATTTTTCTCCTTTATATGAATAAATTATCCCTGAGCAGTTCCAGGCTGCGAGGAAACCCTCAAATTTTTATTGAAGTTATGATTTTGAGAGAGAGCTTGTTTTAAATCCCGTCTAACTTTAAACCTTGGCAATCAAGTGTGTGCTTGTGATTAAATATGATATTTCCAAAAACATGAGG